AAAGGTTTATGTTCTTATCTAGTTCAAGTTTTAGTATCAAGTTCAGTAAAAAAGAAAAAAAATTAGCATATTGTACAAACTTGTGGCAAGGCTTCAGCATTTCCTTAAGTGGAAATTAACTTCACTTAAGAGACTCCGATGAAAAAGCCCCTCATAATGGCCAAGGATGCTGGAGAAGGATGGATAATCTCCTCCTGTGCCTCTGAAAATCTGCTAGAGGGTCTGGTAGGGGTTGATTCCAGCTAGACAGCACACGACAATGCCAAGGAAAATACCTGTCTCCTTCCTCTCTCTTTTCATTATTAATTTACTAACTCAATGCTTATTTATTAATGAAGCTCTTTTTGCTTTCTTCATGGATGATATATTTTATTTCATTTTACGACTTCTTTGGTTTTCGATCATTAGTTAAGATGATTTTTAATTAGGTGAGATAGCCCCAAAGTTTTGTCTCATGTGGATTTGTTTTAATCTTCTTCAGTCTCAATTTGAACTTGGACATGAGTTCATGTTTGAACTTGCACATGATCTTATGATGGTTTATTCTCCCACAGTCAGTAACTGGCCTGGTTCTGACTAATCGTATTGAGCTTCTCTGATGATTCTTTCCACAGCTGTAGTCAATCTGATTCTTTTGCAGTCCATTAGGTGAGGTCCATGTGGAAAGTTGCCTTTTGTGTTTCTTACAAAAGATATTTGCTATGAATAAATCATTGAACATACAAAATTCACTCACTGCCTCTCAGCCTCATTTCTGTCACCAAATCTGTACTTCCTGACTACCTATCATTCCTTCCTCATTGTTTCCAACTTTTGCATTCCCGTCAACATCAAGAAACCAAAGGTCCTGATCACTGGGCCAATAGGCAACATCTTGGTAAATGGAGAAAAGATCAAAACTGCCAATTATTTCATCTCAATCCACACTCTTGGTACCAGTAGTCCTATCAAGAAATGTATTGTTTGGGGCAAGTTGGCTTTCCAAAATACTGAGGAGTAATTATGTCAGTTTGAAGAATAAGGTATACCCTGGTCTTTTCAATCACTTGCTGTGCATCTGAGGGCTAGACAGTGAATAAGGATGACAGAAAAGGAATTGATACCTTTGCATTGTGATGCTGGAGAAGAGTACTGATTATTCCATGAACTGCTAAATATGTATGTCTTGGAAATGGTGCACCCAGAGTGCTCCTTGGAGGCAAAGATGGCAAAGCTTTGTCTTTCATACTTTGATGATGTTGCTAGGAGAGGCTTCTTGTTGTTGTTAAGTGCCGTCGAGTTGCAGGTGATTCATAGTGACCCTATGAACGAAAGTCCTGGACACTTGCTGTATAACTTCCGTCCTTTCTCCAGGTTCATAGGGTTTCCAGAGGCAAGCTGCTGTGGAAGTGGGTGCAACTCCTGCTTCTAAGCTTGTTTTATTCGGGGAGCTTCACCAAACACTGTCCACCATGGGTAACAGTATTCAGCTTCACAGCAACCACGAGTTACCTCTGTACAGCAAGTGGACATACCAGGGTTATATGACCTAGAGGAATAATGTTTCACCAAAAACAATTAAAGGCAGGTCCGAGAGAGAAAGGAGAGGCTATTCCTTGAAAATGTATATCATGCTTGGAAAAGTGGAGAGTTAGCAAAAGAGAGAAAGACTCTCAATGAAATGGATTGACATAGTGACTGCAGCAATGGGCTCAAGTGTATTAGAAATGATGAGGATGGCACAGGATAGGACAGGGTTCAGATCTATTATTCATAGAGTTGCTATGAGTCGTACTTAACAGGACCTAAGAACAACAGCAGTAAGAGAGCTCTTCTGGTCTAGTGGGTAGGGATTGGTGCCAATCCAAAGCACAGGGTTTGAAGCCACAACTGCTCTGCATAGAAAGATGGGCAATCTTCTCCTATGTGATTTACTGCCTCTGAAAATCCTCTGGAGGTCAGCTATAAGTCTGTTTCTACTTGATTACACATAACAAGCAGTTATAATGTGCACTGGTTTATTGTGCTGGACTCACTTGGAGTAAAAGAAAACATCAACTTCAAGGGTCGTCTAAGATTCTATGTGAACAATAAAAAGATACACATGGAAATATAAATATTTCACATAAAGTGGCATTATTTTTATAAGCTAAATCAACATTTTTCAAATTGTTGATTGTCAGTTACAGTTTGCTTGGTCATAAAATTTAGTGGACTAGAACCATACTTTATCAAATAATAATTTAAGAAACCAAGAGAAAGTAGCAAATATAAGCATATATTGCGAAAAATGCATTTTAATAAGCTTCAGAGGATAGATGTATGCAGGCATTTCATGTCAATGTAAAATATATGACTTACTTTGAGAGAAGGTTAAAATTAAATTTTAAAAGGCATTTTTCCAGGGAAGTTTAATGGCCTGAAAGATAATTATAACTTGAATGGTCAAGGATAGAAGGCTTCATGGGGCTGAAAGTACCTGAATGAGGCTTTGGAGGAGATGGGATGACTTCAGATTAAATAAAAAAATCTACCAAAAAGGGTTTCTATTCTTGTGAATTAAGGGAGAACCATTAGAGAAAGCAAATTCCTTAAAGGCAGCTCTCTCCGGAAGGAGCAACTGCCCCAAAACAACTAATGTCGCCTAATATTTTTCAAAAACATGGGATCAAAATATAGCAAAATGTAGAGCCAGTGACCTGGGGTCATTATCTCTCTGGTGTCACAAGGGAAACTGTTTAAGGAAGTTGTTCCTGGAAGGTCCGCTATTTTTAAGAGTGTGACTCAGAAGTCTTCTGTCCTATTGCTTGTTTCAAATATTTGTTTTTTTAGGATACTGATATTTATATTTGTACTTGTGTATGAAGGGCCTACATATCTAACTTCGCAAACTGAAAGTTTAGTGGGTTGTTGGTTCCTTGTTCTCCACCCCACCCCCCTCCTTTCTTCATTTAAGTTGCATCAGCCCGACTGGTGACTTTTACGGGATAGTGGACTCTAAGTTCTACTACTCTAGTATTTACTGGACAAACACTCAAGGCCTCAGGAACACGATTGCTTTTAGCCTTGTTTTTTATATATTCATACACAAAAGAAGCCTATAAGAAAGAATAAAGCCAGCTAGGGTGGCCTCTGGAGCGGGGAGCTGTTGTTGCAGGAATCTTGCAAGTTAATGAGAATTCACTTGGGACTCAAGAGCGATGGAGAGAGGGGGGAAATGAGGAGATGGGGGGGGGTATAAAAACTCTTCCTCTGCAGCTGGCCCTCTCCCTCATTTGTTGCTCCAATAAGCAGTAATTAGGTCCTGAGCTAATGGTGTCAGCTGATCTGCTGTTTTTAGGCTAGACCCAGAGGAATCTCCATGGAAACCCTGCTGGAGTCGTCCCCCCACCTGGATGCTGCCTGCTCCTTTCCGCCACCTGGCTGCCGCCGGGCCCGCTGCTACCTCCTCCTGCCTCTAACCTGCAGCCTGCAGCATGCGCACTGCCCCCGGGATCCCTAAATGGGACAATTCTGCCCGTGACGTCAGCGCCCAGCCGTCTCCACAGAAACTTTTGTCCCATTGGCCAATCAGAGAGCTAGGAAGGGGCCTGGGCGGGAGGGGGGTGGGAGGAGAGGGGAGTAGGAGGGGTGGGGGTGAGGGGAGAGGCGAGAGGTTTAGTGTGTGGAGCTGCGCGCGCTCCGCCCGGGCTGTCAGTCCCGGCTCCAGCAGCCGCGAGACCTTCCCGGAGACGCGCGCACCCACCGCGCACCCCCCCGCACCCCGCACCCCCTGGCTCTCTCGCTCACACACACGCGCGCACACTCAGCCTGGCCCGGCTGGAGCTACTGACCATTTTGCAAGTGCCAGGACCGGCTGCGGTGCGGTGGGCACGAGCACCCTGCCTTCCCATTGGTGACTGTGGTCGTGGAGAAGGAGACGAGGGGCGCAGGAGGGAACCTGGCGCCGGGCACCGGTCAGGCCGCCTTCCTCGCCGAGCCGCTCCCCGGGACGGACGGGCGCGGGCCTGGGCCGAGAGTAGAATAAAGAGGAGCGGCCGCAGCCACTGCGCGACGAGGATGGGAACTCCCCTGTTTTCCAGCTCGGTACCAAAGGGAATGAAATTCTGAATGGAGGAAACGCAGACTTCATCTGCTTGGGAAAATCGTCCACAGAACTCACATTTGACCACTCTGAGCACTGGAGGGGGTGTCCATGACGTGGCAGGGGGAAAACAGACACCCGAAACCTCCCATGTGAACTGCAAACTGTGACCACGTAAAGGGGGAACGATCGCGATTTTATTTTGCGCAGAGGAATTAAGCATCCACCTAAACTTACTTCTATGCCTTGTACCCAATTCGGCGGAAGCCAGAGTCCTGCCTGGGGACCCCGCCGCGGTCCTGGAGCCCCGCCGCGGTCCTGGAGCCCCGCCGCCAGAGGCCTGCCCTCGGGGACCTTCAGTCCTCAGGATCGCTTCTCTGTTTGGGGCACCAAGGTGTGTCCTACAGAACTGTGGCCACATCTCCATGAATGCTTTGGTCATTTCTGCGACCTAACTCATCAAACCGACACGCCGGGCTGGAGATGAGCTCCACTGCGCCCGAGGAAATGACATTTTAAGGCGTGTGTTGCAATACCTTGTTTGATGTTTTTATTCCTGTTGGTAGGCGCCGGGACCATGACAGGTAAGAACTTTCTGTCTGTCTAGTCCCCTAACAGCCGACGCAAGGCCAGCCAAGGCTGAGCAGGACCCTGGAGCGGCAAGCGCCCGGGGCCCCAGGTGCCCTTCGGGCGGGCAGGCGCGGCCCGGCGGCGGCTCTCGGGAGGCGCAGCCCGCGCTCCTGGCCCGCGGGGCCCGAGGCCCGGGAAGCTCGTGGGGCGCGTGCGGGGAGGCGGCGCCGCGCTCCACCTGCCGGGCCCCAGACGCAGCCTGGAGCGGAGCGTCCTGGGACCACCCCGAGTCAATATTGGGATTTTTTAATAAGTCAAGGAATGGGATTTTAATTATTCAGGACCCTGGCCCTCTGGGTCAGCTGCTGTCGGGATGGTCCAGGTCACAGAATATTAAAGAGAAGGAGCATCCAGAGGACGAGCCAAGCGTCCGAGGCATCGGTTGCAGTTGGGAATGAACCACAGATTTAGGATCCCGGGGCATTGATCGCCGGCACCCCATCGCTCACTTCCCCCCAGGGCCAGCTCCGGGGAGTCGGGACACCGCGTCCCCGCGCGGTGGCTGGGGCTGCATTTTTCATGAGCCCCGGGTGAACAGGTGCGAAGTGCGTCGGAGAGCATCCGGCCACCGGTCGGGAGCAGAGAACATGGAGAGCGAGCGCGACATGTACCGCCAGTTCCAGGACTGGTGCCTCCGGACTTATGGGGACTCGGGCAAGACCAAGACGGTGACCCGTAAAAAATACGAGCGGATCGTCCAGCTCCTCAACGGCGCCGAGTCGAGCTCCACGGACAACGCCAAATTTAAATTCTGGGTCAAATCCAAGGGCTTCCAGCTGGGCCAGCCCGATGAGGTCCGCGCGGGGGGCGGCGGCGCCAAGCAAGTGCTCTTCGTGCCGGTCAAGACCACGGTGAGTGGCTCCGGCCTCAGGCCTCGGCTATTTGTCTGCGGGGTGCGCCAGCGGGGCTGGGGAACGAGAGGGGGGCGAGTCCTGAGACCCCTTTAGCTTATGTGCCCCTTCACCCTGTGTAGTCCCCTCCCCAAGTGGTCCCCACTCGCCTTTACCAGGCGCGCCCCCACCCAGTGCATCTTTGGGGGGGGTCTTTAATTTTAAAGCGGCAGCGCACCTCCTGAGCCAGCAGTGCTCCCCGCCGCCCGGGTCTCAGAGCCGCCACGGGCGCGTCCTTCCCCGGGTCGGGCGGCGTCCTGCGTCCTCGGGCTGGGCCATTGTCCCCCGTCCATTGCTGGTTGCCTGGCGCGTGTCCCGCCGCCGCCGCTGCCGCTGCGCATAAAGGCCACGCTGGACCCCCCGCGCCGCACGCGCCGATTATAGACGATGCTGATCGATAGTCTAGAGTGTCTCCTTATTGGCACAAAGCCCGAGAGTGGCGCTGCTTGTGGATGTGGGGTTTATGCAGGGAACTTGCAGGTTTTATTGTTCCTTCGCAGCCTGGGAGGCACAAGGCAGTCCCAGCGCCTGGAGCTGATGCGCTGGAGAGGATTCAGGTTGCCTCCACTGTTTGGATTGTAGATAAGGCTCTGAAGATGCCTCCTCCCCCCACCCCCCTTTGCTTCCTCACTTCCCCCTTCCTCGAATAAAGCAGCAGCTCGATGATGAACAACAAAGAGATGGGTTGGGGCGCGATCAAATGGTCTTAATGTGTTTATGCCTCTCTCTGATGCACGGCCACAAAGCTCCCGGCCCAGCTCTGTGAGGCTCGGGTACTGACAGCCTGGGGTATCTCAGTCTTGTGAGCAGACGCCTGGAGAACAGGGGAGCGGCCAGTTCCCTTTATTAGAAGATGGGAGCTGCGGACCACAAAGCAGGATCTCAGACTAGATGACCTGCTTCTCCAGCTTGCTAGGTGGGTACTCGCCAGGAGAGAGATGGGGGGGAGGGCAGCTGGTGTCCTTTGCGTTTTTGCCTCGCTTTGGGCTTTCTTGAGCTCTTGCTCCTTTTTTTTTTCCCCCCCCGCCCTGTCTTCCTGGCACCTGCTCCCTATACAATATTCCTGGAGGATGCTAGACAGGAGAAGGCTTGCAAACTGTTCTTCTGAGTCTCACTGAGGTACAGACAATTGGAAATATGTGCATGAAAGCTTTTCCAAAGGATCCTTTGGAGGACTCGTCTAGATTTGGGTTGCGACGGTCTGTGACTTATCAAGGTAAATTAGGGATAGTGTTTAAAGGAAGTCCATTTTGCTGGGAATTTTATGAGAAATGGAAGCACAGCTAAGAAAAGTTCTGCTTTTCTGCAAAGACTGTGTTGTTGGAAAGTTTCTCGAAGGCGAGAGAAATAAATACAGCCTTCTTCAGCGTGTGACATTGCTGAAGACAATGGTAAGACAACCGCTTTGCTTTCCTAAATAGTAAGGACTAGACAGGTAGATGAATTAGGACTGAGGTTTATTTACATCTCGGGGAGCCAGAAGTCTGTGGAGCAAGTGAAGCGCTGTGATTCACTTGTTGTAGTAGTATTAACTCTGATTTTTTTTAAAAAAAGAATGTATTGTTACAGAAATTAAATTTGGCTTCAAAACATAAGAAGGCATTTTCCTTTGGTATTACTGGGGCTTACAGATAAAGAAAATAAACATTTAAGCTATGTGGATTTAAAATAGAATTTAATAATATATACGTTTCAAAGGGAAAAGATGCTCATTGAGTTTATTTTCATTTATTTCCTTCTCTTGTACTAAACATTCTCTGTTTACCAATTTAGATCACTTCACTTGTGTTTAGTCAAATGAGTTTATACACATGAATCTGGCTACATCCACTATACATTCAGTCATAGTTATCTTTATTTCAGAATTAACAATCTAACTAGCAAAAATTTTTCTGAAAGTGTTGTAAGCTATAGATTCACTCTGATTCAGGATCGACTTGATGGTAAATGATTTTTATGTCTTTTTGACTTTTATACAAGATAGAGCAAGATAAATATGGATGTCCATTACTTAAAGCAACAGTCATGTGTCCAATTATCCATTTTTTCTGTCAAAATTATTCCAGAGAAGTTTCCAGAAATTGCTGTTACATATATTATTTAGAGTAACAACAAAAGGTATAATATAGTATACTATGGAGCCACGTGCTTTTCTTTCAGTGAAGATTCAGAATATGTAGGGAAGAAAATGTACTTTAACCAGTAATATTAGATAATGCTTTCTGAATAGCATTTAAGAGTCTTGCTCTCCATTTAATCATGTTTGAGATCCTACTGAAGAGGTTTTTAATTCATGAACTCCTCTCAGTCTTTATGAAATTTTTATGCTGTTCCTGACATAGATGTAGACTCCTCCTTCTCTGAGAGACAGCCAATCACCATGTCAGTGAGTTAAAAAAAATTAAGTACATACAGGGTCCCTTCTTATCATGTGTTTCCTCACATCTCAAATTATTTCCTCTTTAAAAATGTGTTGATTTTTTTTTTTTCCTTCATAATGACTGGAGTACCATCACTATGAAGACAAAAAGAAATTATTTTCATTCAATGGTTGGAATAGAGTACTGTACTTGAGTAGTATTTTCAAGTATACTAAGATTCATTATAATCTACTTGAGGTTTGAAGGTTTGTGTTTGGGTCTCCTGTCAGACAGAGAGAGATTTGCTCCTGATGTTGCAGTAATCCATTGCTGCTGGTAATTAGACATCATTACGACTGAGAAAAAGGAAAGAGAGAAGGGGAGAGGACAGGCTTAGGCTAATTAACTACTTTAGCTTAATGAAAGAAAGACTGATAGCAACTGGGAGGTTGTGCTAGAGAGAACAGACTAGACATATTACATCCAATTAATTGAAACAGGGCTATCCAGTCAAAGGAGCTAGGTTCTGCCTCTTCTTTTTAAAAAAAAAAAAGTAACAAACTTTCTTTTGCAAATATTCTCCTTCTAAAGTGTAAACTGGTAAGGAAACCCTGAGCAGGGAACATCTGATTTAACATAAAAAAACAAAACAATGAATGAATGGAATTCCAAAATCTCTGTAGATGTTCATTGAAATGAAAAATAAACAACCTAAAAAAAAAAAAAAAAGAAGAAGAATAGGTGTTTTCAAGTTGTGGTGTTGGCAGGGTAGAGAGAATAGTGCAACAATGAATGAGTGGAAGCCCAAAATCTCTGTAAATGTTTATGAAAATTAATAAAATATAATTATAGGGAAAAAAAATTGTGGTGTTGGCAAAAACTATTGAATATACCAGGTTCTGCCCAAAGTATAAACAAATCTATCTTGGAAAAAAAAATACAGAGTACTGGAAATGGTAGATGTGCCCTTTAACATTTATCCTGGCCATGTGTGTAAGGCTGAGGGGACATTATTTGTCACTGATTAGATTACTTTATATCCAAGGAGAGACTGTTTGTCTCCCAATCAGCAACATCCTGCAGCTCAGTCCCTTAATGTCCATAGTGGACCGTGTGTGTGTGTGTGTGTGTGTGTGTGTGTGTGTGTGTGACATGCGTGTGTGCCCATGTGCTCACGTGTCCATGCTTCCACCAGCACAGATGGAGTTAGTTAAATATTATGGTTTTTAATTCTATCACTCTTATTTTTCTATGTTTTTTTTAGACTAAAGGTTGCCAAAAGTTTAGATAAATGGAATGCTGAATAGCTTAGACAGCAAATATCTGTCAATAATTACAACATGCTTTTGATCAGTAATCATTTTAATTTAGAATCACTGTCTTGAGGATGACACAGAATAGGGCAAGGTTCAGACCTGATGTTTATAGGGTTCCTGTGGGTCCTAGCTGACTCAGTGGTATCTAACACAAACAATGTGTTTGCTGTTTTGCATCTTTACATTTTCCAGTTTGGTTTATAGTAGCTTTGATCCCAATTGACACTTTCTATTATTGCAGCAATGAGTTGAAATATCCCACTTACAGTTTTAAACTACTAAAAGTTATCTTACTACTTGATATTATAAAAAGTATACTCAGAAAATAAAAGGAAGATGTTCTGTTAGCATTATGGTTATTGTTACACTCTGCTTATTTTTTTAATAAAGAGCCTCACCGAATAATATAAATATTAAAAAATGTTAATCCCAATGTTTTATTTGCCACTCAGACTTAAATATGGTTAATGAATGTCAAATTTGTTTAATTAAATAATACAGTACTTTCCTTAGCCAGTATTTGTAGGGACTGACACTCAGGTCTGATTTTTACATTGGTTAAGAAAATATTTTTACAATTTTTATCCCAGTATATAGATAAACAAAATTTTCATCCAGAAGGAAAATGCATTTTCTTTGCTTATGTCATGTAAAAATGATTTATTTAGTTCTGCAGTCTGTACTCGCAGGTTTTCTATTGTTTGTGCAGTACACTGATTGATTACCATACCATGATTAGAATGAATATTCATTGACTGGCGCATAAACAGTTACTGTTTTTGTTAGTTGTCTCACTGTGGTTTTGGCTATAAACCCCTTATAAGTCAGAGTGAAGGAAGTGGTCCTTATGAGGTGACTTTTTATATTTCCATCTGAACTAACTCCATACCTGAAGGACTCTAAAGCCTGGATCTATCCTTTGCTGTAATAATTCTAGAAATGAGAGCTGCTAAGTCATGCTAAAATGCAAAAACCCAGAGCCCATTGCCATTTAGCTATTCTGACTCATTGCGACCTTGTAGGATAGAGCAGAACTTACCCATTGGGTTCCTGAAGCTATGAACCAAGGCTATTCCTGTGGAAGCCGTTGGACACATCTTTGTTGCATTGAGTGGCTGGTGGATTCGAATGGCCGTACTTTTTCGTTTAGCAAATGGAGACTTTAATAATTGTGTCAATAAAGATTTTCACAACTATATACTAGCTGTATGGAAAAAACCCAAACCTGTGGTTACAGAATCAATTCCAGTTCATGGGGACTTTATGGTATAGAGTAGAACTAATC